CTGATCCTGCTTAGCTTCCTAGAACAGATGTGATCAGCTACATTTAGGGTGGTATGACATAGACTAGAAACACTTTCCTAGATATACCCAGAGATGTGTTTCCATGGTGATTCTAAGTCCAGTCATGATTACAATAAAGATGAACTGTCACAGTTCTACCTCCTGTCAACTTGACTCCAGTATATCACTTTTTATTGTTCCTCATTTAGGCTGAGGAGATGGCTCAGAGGGCAAGAGTGTTTGCTGTGAAAGCAAGAGGCCCTGCTTTCAAAACCCCATCAACCACATTTATTTATTTATTTATAGATTTATTCATTCTATGAGTGTATTGGCTACATGTATGTATGTATGTGCACCACAGGCATGTGTGCTACCCTGCAGAGTTCATAAGAGGTCACTGGATTCCCTGGAACTGGAGTTAGAGATGGTTATTATATTAGGGTTCTCTGGAGAAGCAAACAGAACTGATTATAAGTGTGTGTGTGTGTGTGTGTGTGTGTGTGTGTGTGTGTGTGCGCGCGCGCACGCATGTGTAAAACTTATTAGCATGGCTTGTAGGTATAGGTTATGGTCTGACTATTCCAACAATAGCTGCCTCCTGACAGAGAGTTCAAGAATCCAGTCGTTCTGTCCACGAGGCTGGGTGTCTCAGCTGGCCTTCTTTATATGCTAGAATCCTAAAGAAGCAGGTTCTTGTAAGAGTGAAGAAATGAACTTGCCAGTGAGAGGGAGGGCAAGCAGCAAAGAGCAAAAGCTTCCTTCTTCTATGTCCTTTACATAGGCTGCCACCAGAAGGTGTGGCCAGATTAAAGGTGAGTCTTCCCACCCCAGAAGATCTGGATTTAGGGTGGCTCTTCCCATGTCAAATAATTCAAGAAAGAAAATCCCCTCACAGGTGTACCCAGCTGCTTGGGTGTTGATTAATTCTAGTGTAGTCAAGTTGACAAGAATAGCCACCACAGTTATGAACCACCACATGGGTACTAGGAACTGAATCCAGGTACTCTTAACCAGAGCCATCTCTCCATCCTCCCAGTCCCCAAACCAGATTAAAACAAAGACTACACGCACATGCCTGTAACCTGGCACTGGGGAGTGGAGACAGTATGGAGACAGGCGCATCCCAAGGGCTTACTGGCTCACCAGCCTAGCTCAAACTGTCTGTTTCCAGTTCAGTTAAAGACCCGGTGGTAGATAGACCGTGGCTCACTCACTTAATCCCGGCAGAGACAAATGGGTGTCTGTGAGTTCAGGTAAGCTTGGTCTACATAGTGTGAACTAAACTCCTGATAAGAAGCTGTCTGCAAAAACCAAGTGATTCAAACATCAGTACTGTGGAGAGACTGGAACAGTTGCAGGTCCAGGGACTACTTACCTTACCTTATCTTGGGCTAGTTCTAGCCCTGTGCAACAGCCATTTCTTACCCATCTCTGTGCCAGAACTAACATCTTGTGACTAATAGAAAAACCTTTGGGATCTAGTAACTTAGCAGACCAATACCAACCCAAAAGCTTCCCCCATCTCCTGCACCTGCCTCTCTGATGCACACACCAATGTATTTTAAACTTGATTTATGATGACTTTCTTTGTTCTGTAAAACTATAAAAACTTCTTGAAACTGCTTCCATTGGAACGTAAAATCTGGGGTAACCAAAATGTGTGTTCCTGGGCCATGGTCACTCAAAATGGCTCCAAAATAAACTCTTATTCCAAGAGGAGAGCTAAATTTTTTGATTTGACAATAGTGAGTTAAAAGCCAGCTAAGGCTTCATAGTGAGACCCTGCCTCAAATAAAGAAATAAAATAATAAGCAATAGAGGAAGACTATCATACTCTTCCATCCTCCATGTGTGCACAGATACATACACACACACACACACACACACACACACACAATAAACTTTTAAAAATCAACTGCACTGAATCCAAGTTTTTAGGACACAGGCAGAACTGCAGCTCGTTTCTTCACAAGACTGTAATACAAACACCCTCTAACACAGCCCCTGATATAGTACATCTTCCTCCCTGAAACTCATGACCTGCGCCTCCACTGTTCTGGTTTTTGGTGTTGGTTTTGTTTTGTTTTTCTGGTTTCTATTTTGGTTTTTTGAGACAGCATTTATTTATGTATCGCTGGCTGTCCTAGAACTCTATAGATCAGGCTGCCTCTGCCTCCTGAGTGCTGGTAGTAAAGGCCCGTGCCACCGCCACCCAGCTCATTCTGTTTTTCTAAAGTCCCACCAGAATGGCCCTTTAAACTCTGCTTACAGCATTCTAGGGCTTCTCTAGCCTGCAGCTTCCAACTCTTCCCCATTTCTCCTGCAAACTAGTTCTAAAGGCCTAAGAACCACATAGGTCTATCACAGAAAAGCCCTACTCTCTGTATTAATTATTTTTCTTGTAACAAAGTATCTGATAAAAAACAACTTAAGGAAGGGAGGAAGGGAAGGAGGGAGGGAGGGAGGGAGGGAGGGAGGGAGGGAGGGAGGGAGGGAGGGAGGGAGGGAGGGAAAGAAGGCAGGCTTGTTTTGGCTCAGAGTCTGAGGACACAACCCGTAAGGGCAGGGAAGGTATGGTGGCAGATGTGTAAGATGGCTGACATGTTGTGTCTACAATCAGATATTGAGAGGTGAGCACCACTGTTTAACTTGCTGTCTCCTTTTTCAGTTTTTTGTTTGTTTGCTTTTCCCAAGGTTTTTTGGTTTTTCTAGGCAGGGTTTCCCTGGAGCCTGTCCTGTAACTCACTCTGTAGACCAGGCTGGCCTCAAACTCACAGAGATCCGCCTGCCTCTCTGCCTCCGCCTCCTGAGTGCTGGGACTAAAAGCATGCACCACCAATGCCCAGCTGTCTCCTTTTTCTTCATCCCCTATGGGATGGTGCCCCTACATTCAGGCTAGGTCCTCCCTCCTCATTTAAATCTTCCTGGAAGCACATTCACACACACACACACACACACACACACACACACACACACACACACACACACACAGGTGTTTCCATGGCAATTCTAAATTCAGCCATGTTGACAATGAAGAGCAACTATTACAGTAGCTGAACCCAAAGAAATAGTAATAGAGAAACAGCAAAACATGGAAGGAAATGCTGACCTGACATGAGACACTATGATCACAAAGGAAGTTTTCCCAAGGCAAGTCTCATCTGTTCCGTTATATCATGCTGAGTGTACTCTACCAACTGAGCTACACCCCAAATATCCCTCACCAATTTAAAATTCCTTAATTAAGGTCTGGGGACATGGCTCAAAGGGTAAGAGTATTTACTGCTCTTCCGCAAGACCAGTGTTTGGTTTACAGCACCTACGTGCAGCATTGTTCCTAACTCTGGCTCTAAAGAATCCAGGGCTTCTTCTGGACTCCTAAATTACCTGCACACACATGACATTATATAGACACAGACACACACACTAAATCTTGCTTATGTGTATGAACATTTGTCTGCATCTATGTATGTGTACCACCTTCATGCCTGGTGTCTGTGAAGAAAAAAAGAGGGCATGGGATCCCCTGGAACTGGAGTTACAGATAGTTGTAGTACAGCCCCAAAAGTTTTGGGTTTTTGTTTGTTTATTTTGTTTTTTGTTTTTCTTTCTCTGTGTAGCTTTGGAGGCTCTTGTAGACCAGGCTGGTCTTGAAATCACAGAGATCCACCTGCCTCTGCCTCCCAAGTTCTGGGACTAAAGTCATGCATCACTACTGCCCAGCCCCCAAAAGTAAATCTTAAAGAAAAGTTGGGGAGTAGGGAGCTGGAAAGATGGCTAAGCAGTTCACAGTATGTACTGCTTTTCCAGGGAACCAAAGTTCAGAAAGTTCACAACAGCCTGTAACTCCAGCTCCAGGACCATTCAATGCCTTTGGCTTCCTCAGGCACCTACATATACATGCACACACCCAGCCACAGATACATACACATGATTACAAACAATAAAATCAGGCTGGGTGTGGGGATTCACACCTTTGATCCCAACACTCTGGAAGCAAAGGCAAATAAATCTCTGTGAGTTCAAGGCCAGTCTGGACTATGAAGCAAGTTCCAGGACAACCAAGGCTGTCTCAAAAAAAAAAAAAAAAACACCCAAAGGAACAAATACAAATGAACACACAAAAAACAGAAAGATTCTGAATAAGCCAGGTTCCTAGACCTAAGTATACAGATGGACCTGTTAGACTGGTGCAGCTTCTCTTCCCCTTGAATCCCTACACCCAGCCTGATTTTATTGAGGACTTCAGTCCTGTAGCTATAAAGATGTACATTCTGCCAACAGCCTGAGACACTTGGAACAGATACTTGTTTGGCCAAGTCTCCAAGTTCCCAAGAGGAAACATTACCTAATCAGGTTCCTTATCATCTTGCTGAATGCACTGCTTAACCGTGGCCAGGCTCCTGACACAAAAAAAGTTATGACAATGAATATGTGTTATTCTGTATGTCTGTGGCCACACTGCACAGCAATAGGGCATGATACAATAAACGAAGCTGACCAAGGAACAGTTAGCTTCAACGGGATCTGTTTAAACCCCTTAAACAAATATTTTATGCTCCATTTAAAATGGGTTTAGAGTAGACATGCTAGTGAACACATAATCACAGCAACAGGGAGGTAGGAGCAGGAGTAAGGCCACATAGAGAGTTTCAGGGAAGCCTTGGCTACATGAGACCCTGTGGAGGGTAGGAGAGAGCTGAGGCAAAAGAAGCTGTAAGTGATCCTTCAAAGGATTATGCGCAGCTGCCTGACATAAAGAGAAAAATATGTACAATGATAAAATATGAGAAGACTATGCTGAAAAACACTGTCATCTAAGATGCAATCACTTATAGGTCAGTTATAGAAATCATCCTAATAAAAGAACAGAAAGATATTCAAAGCTATGCATGGAAATCAGAAGGGAACACTGTAGCACAGGTCTCTGAGTCCAACCCAAATAGCCTTAGGAAATGTCTGATATCTCAAGACTCTTCTAAGTGAAAGGACATGAACAATAGTTCTTAATAGTATTTTATTTCATGTTGCATTTAGTCAGCATACAAAACAGGTTTCATTATGGAAGTTTCATATGCACACCTCTGAACTTTGCCCCTACTTACTGCCCCAATTTTGTCACCCCACAAAATGGTCAACATGCCCCCACTTTTCAGGTCCTCTGTGTGAGTGTGTGTGCACCTGCATGCATGTTTAAGTCAGTCATAGGAAAACTTGAGTTATCCTGTCCTCCCACTGAGGGTTCCAGGGCTTAAACAATCCCAGGTTGTCAGGCTTGCATGTCAAGTGCAGAGCCATCTTGCCAACCCCCAAACTTATTTCTTTATAAAGCACCAACCTCTAGTACTTTGTTACAGCAATAGAAAATGGGCCAAACAATAAGAAACAAATACTAATTCCAAAACTATTTAATTCTAGGAAGCTAATTTAATAAATAAGAAGTCCCAAAGTCTCCAAAGATGCACCAAAAATGAAATGAATGAATGGGAAAATTAAAAATAAAAAAGGGAAGAGATAGAGGTTGATAGCCATTTTCATAAAGATGAAATACTGCTTTAATAACTCAGTGTCACTGAATGACAGAGAAAGTAAAAGTCCATATTTGCTTTATACAATGCTGGGAAGCAGATTACCTGTGAGTGACACTGTTCAAGAATGGCTTGCTAAAACATTGAAGAAATGAAAGACTTCATCCTTGTCATAGACTGCCACTTCGGTCGAACACTCTGTGCACATGACAGGGTGATAGATCTCTTCCGCTTCTGTCTCCACAGGACCTTCAGGGTTAGACCTCATCTTCTTAGCACCCCGCTTTTTCTTCCTGTTTTCTGGATTCTTATATCTTAGAACCTCCTCTCTGTTGACAGAACAATTCATCACAAACATTGCTCTGTACTGAGTCTTGTAGGATTCATGCCTAGAGGGAGAATGAAATGCAGAGTTAGGATTTAATAGTAGTCATTTTCAGTTCAACTCTGAGAACACCTACATGAACTCACCAAAATAATGAATGTAATGTAATGAAATGTAAATTTAAGGACATTTGAAAGAATTATTTATTTACCTTTTTTTTTTTTTTTTTTTTTTTTGGAGACAGAGATGCAAGAGCTAACCTGGAACTCAAAATCCTCCTGTCTCAACCTCTCAAGTAATGAGAATTCAGGCATGCACCATTCCTCCATGGAGAGATATATTTCTTAAATGGAATGTAAGGCACATATCTTAGATTCCAGCACTCAAGGAGACAGAAGAAGGGGAGTTCATGGCCAGCCAGATCAGAATTAAATAGTGAGTTCTAGGACAACCAGGGCTACATAGAGACACTGCCTCAAAAATAAATAGATACATAAATAGACAAATGGGAATGTGGCACTGGGTTGGGAATATAGTTCAATGGTACAGCATGTGAAAAGTGTTGAGGTTTAATCTCCAGCACTGACAAAAACTTGGATTTTTACACAGGGTCTCACTATGTAACCCTGACTGGCCTGGAACCATATGTAAACTAGGGTGGCCTCCTACTCACAGAGATCTGCCTGCTTCTGCCTCCTGATTATCAGGCTCAAAGGCATGTGTCACCATGAGGCTTTTTGATTTTTTTTTTTTTTTTTTTCTCCTTTTGAGACAGGTTCTCACTATGTGTCTGTCCCTGCCTGGCCTGGAACTCTCAGGTCATCTGACCTCCTCCTATACCTTAGCATGCATGAAAACACATGTACACTAAATAAATGAACAAACAAAGAGGGGCTACAGAGATGGCTCATGTGCTCTTTCAGAGGACCCTGGTTTGGTTCCTAGCACCAACATGGCAGCTCACGACTGTCTGTTAATTCTAGTTCTAGGTGAGCCAACCCATCTTCCATCCTCTAAGGGGCATACACGGTACACATACATGCACACAGGCAAATACTCATATAAATCTACAGCAATAAAATTAGCTGTTGCTAAGACCCATTAAGCTCCAGCTCACTGAAGGGAAAGCCTGTGATCCCAGTACTCACAGGTTGAGGCAGGAGGATCTGAGTTACACAGTGAGGCCATATCTCAAAAACAAAAACAAACACAAACATACAAACAGCACTTAGGAAGCAAGTGGATCTCTGTGTGTTTAAGGCCAGCCTGGGCTAAAAGGACAGTTCCAGACCAGTCAGGATAGTGAGAGTCCATCTCAAAAAAACAGACTGCTAGTCAGCACTACATTGAGCAAACAGTTCTATCAGCAAAGGCAACAAAAGGGTCTCTCCAGCAACAAAACAGTGACAGAAAAAGAAATTGGATCAGCTCATCTCCATTGTCCAGGGAATGGAAAATGAAACTTTACTCTGCCAGGATTTGAATTCCTTCTGGAATGACACTAATAAGGACCAAGAAACTCCTGCTTGAACTATATATGGAGTATTGTGCAATCAGCTTTGTTGTAGTTTTCCTTTCTCAGTTAACATCTCAGACTGAAACATCCCACGTACCCTGGTGATGTGGGCCAACTCAAGCTTTCCATCCCAGCCAAAAAAAATCACCTGCTTCTAACTTATCTAAACTCTGCCCTCACTTCTGTTTCTTTGTTTGATTGGCTAGTTTGTTTGGTTTTTTTGTTTGTTTGTTTTGTTTTGTTTTGTTTTTTGAGGGGGGGAATTGTTTTGTTTGTTTCTCAAAACAGGGTTTCTCTGTTTAACAGCTCTCCTGGAACTCACTCTGTAGACCATGATGGCCTTGAACTCACTGAAATCTGCCTGCCTCTGCCTCCCAAGTGCTGGGACTGAGGGGTGTGCACCACTGCCCAGTTCTCACTCCTGTTTTTAAGCATCACACTACCACAGAGGTGACCTTTTAGCAAACATACTCTGTTCTTTAGATTTTTGCAACTGTATCGTATGTTCTAGTTACTACTCTTCCAGATTTTGGTCAAATAAATGTTTACATAAACAACAAAAATAGTCTACTTCTGACTTAAGCAAAGGCCCACTGAACTGTTTGGTTCTGGGGAAGGTTTGTTCTGGGATGGGGCACACTCACTAGGGTGCATGTAATATGTTTACCTTTGTCTCTTACCTTTGGCAATCAAGGCACAGTGTAGTCATACAGGCAGGGCAATTCAAAACAGCATCACTGTTTGGAACAGGCTGTTGTTTTTGATGGGGTCTCTGCAATCCAAAAGCATGGTAACTGAAACAGAAAATAAATTTGAGAAGGAAAAATGTATTAATCAGTCCAGAAAAATGAATCAGTAATCAGAGAAATTACTAATTATTATTATTTATAATTTACATTTTTTATTTATTTTATGTATGAATGTCTTGTCTAAATCTAAGTGTACTGCATGCATGCCTGGTGCCCTGGGAGGTCAGAAGAAAGTGTGGAATGTCGAGGAACTGGAGTTATAGATTGTGGTAAGCCACCATGTAGGTGCTAGAAACCAAACTCAGGTCCTTTGCAAGAGCAGCAAGTGCTCTTAACTGATGAGCCATCTCTCCAGCACCAGAAATGAATAATTCTAAGGATACGGTTTATAAGATCCACCTAAAGCATCTTGGAGAGGCAGAAAGTTTAAAAAAAAAGTGCTCAGAAATAAAAAATAAAATCATATTTCAAGGTGGCAGAACCTAATTCACTTCTTAAGTCTGGACTGCACACAGTAATTTTCTTTGAAAATAGATAGTTTGGTGGTATGGTAGTACTCCCTGGCTGAAATCCCAGCACTCCAGAGACAGAAGCAGGAGGATCCAGAGTTCAAAGCCAGTACGAGCTAAAATGAGACATGTCTCATAAAAACCAAACCTAACAACACACAAAAAACGCATAATATCAGTGTGATTGTGAAGAAAATCTCAGGTGAATTCTAATAGAAAACTAACTTTTTCTTAGACCTCACCATGGTTCTTCAAGATATTTAAGATGCCACAAACAAGGAAAGTCTAAGAAACTATTTTATGTTTGTAGTCACAAACTTAAGCCAGGTGGCAGTGGCAGACACCTTTAATCCCAGTACTGGGGAGGTGGATCTCTGAGTTAGAGGCCAACCTGGTCTACAGAGTAAGTGACAGGACAGCCATGGCTACACAGAGAAGAATCAAAGAACTTAAGTTGGTCAGACAAGGAGCCCCACACCTGTAATCCTGGCACTAGGGAGACAACGGCAAGAAGACTACAAATTCGGCCTGGACTATCCAGTGAACTCCAGACCAGCCTGAGAAGTGGGGCAGGAGGCACAGAGGGAGCTCTTAGTCAGCAAAGTGCCTGCTGTGCAAGTGTGACCACCTGAGCTGAAAGCCCAATGCCCACATAAAGAGTAGACACAGAGGCATGAACCTGTGACCACAGTGCTCTCAGGGACAGCAGGATGGAGACAGACAGATCCCTGGGGCTCACTGGCAGCCAACTGAGCAGAGCTTTAGGTTCAGTAGACTCTGGTTCAAAAACTGACGGTAGAGGAGTTGGTAAGATGTGTTACCAGGTAAAGATCTGACAACCTGAGTTCCATCTGAAGAACTTACATGATTGAAGCAGAGACCTGATTCCTAGAAGTTGTCCTCTGACCTCCACAAGCACTCCTTACCACATATGCACATGGCAGTAATAAATTTTAAAATAAATAAATGTAAAGTAAAATAAATTCAGAAAGCTAAGGCAGGAAGAACAAAAGCTCCCAATGCCAGCCTGGACTACACAGCAAATTCCAGGCCAAACTATGCCTCTAAAAACAAAATAAAGGAAGCTTGAGTAAGTGGACACCAGAGGGCGCTGGAGGAAGCAGCACAGAAGTAAATCAGGACCAGGAAAAGGACAGTGAGAACTGGAGCTAAATGGTGTGTATAGAGATCCTGAAGCAACATCAACCCTCCAGACTTGAAAAACAGAGGTAACAGATGGATCTCTGTGTATTCAAGGCCAGCCTGGTCTGCATAGTGGATTCCAGAGTACCCAAAAATAAAATTAACAATTTAGATGCTAAAACTCTAATCTCAGAATAATTTGAAGTTATAAGATAAGCATGGTGGTACATACTCATCTCAGCATTTGGGAGGCCAAGACAGGAGTAGCCCTGGGACTTCAAGGCCAGTCTAGGAGAAACTTTATCTCAACAAATAAACAAACAAACAACAAAAAACTTTTTAAAAAACATTTTAACATGTCTATTGGAAAGGGTAGTTTGAAAAGACCAAAATACAAACCAACCAACCACTGAAAAGTTAGTTTTATAATCAGGCCTATTGGTACAGTCCCATGATCCCTGCTTCTGATGAGGCTGAGGCAGGAGCATTGCAAATTACAGGCCCACTGGGCTACAGAGTAACTTCAAGGCCAACCTGAACAACTTCTAAAAAGCAAAAAAAGGGGAGAGGGGGACTGGAGAGATGGCTCAGAACAGAATTAAGAGCACTGGCTGTTTTTTCAGAGGTAGTGAGTTCAATTCCCAACAATCACATGGTGGCTCACAACCATTGATGGTGGGATCTGATGCCCTCTTCTGGCATAAAGGCATATAAGCAGATAGAGCATTCATTTACATAAAATAAATTTTAAAATCTTTAAAAACAACAAAAACAGGGGGTTAAGGATACAGATCAGTGCTACAACACTTGCCCAACATGCTAGAGCCTAGATTCAAACGATTCCTAGTACCATGGAGGTAGGGGAAAGATGGAAGGTATGTGCACAGTGGCACACACCTATAATCGCAGCACTAGGAGACTGAGGCAGAATTGATGTAAATCAGCCAGGGCAACATACATAATGAGTACCAGGCCAGCCAGGGCTACATGGCAAGACCCTGTCTCACAATAACAATAGAAAGTTCTTTTTTTTTTTTCCCCCTGAGATAGGGTTTCTCTGTGTAATAGCCTTGGCTGTCCTGGAACTCACAGAGATCTACCTTCCTCTGCCTCCCAAATGCTAGGACTAAAGGCAGGTGCCACCGATACTTGGCTAACAAGTTCTGTTTCTTAATGAAGAGACTGCCTGTGACAGTTTAGCTCAATCAATAACTTAACAATGAATTGTGGTGACACAAGCCTGTAATTCCAGAGAGCATTTGGAAGGTAGAGGCAGAATCAGGCCCAACTACATATTAAGTTTTAAAGCCAGCCTGGGCTACATGAGAATCTGTTTTAAAATAAACAAAAATTTAGCAAGGTAGTGATTGCACAGACCTTTAATCCCAGACAGAAGCAGGTGGATCTGAGTTCAAAGCCAGTCTGATCTCAGAGCAAGTTCCAGGATAATAAGGCTACACAGAGAAAACCTGTCTTGAAAAATAAATAAGTAAATAAGCAAACATTCAACTGTCTGACTAAAATCTGCTGGTTATTTTCAAATAAACTATTAAAGTTTTTCTCCTCAAATTGTTTTTGATGTGTTTGTGTGAAAATAAAGACACATATAATAAAATATGAAAGCAGCGAAACATCATTCTTCCTATAAAGATTATAAATATAGATTTAAATTCTTACCCCCGTCTCTGTGCATCAACCCAGGCTTGGTCTCTGTTATCTTTCTCTGGATCATATAGCAACTCATCATTTGTTGGAATCCTTCGTTGTTTCTTCTTCTTTTTCTTGGTCACATGTGCTAATTTTTAAAAGGTTACCAATATGGATCAGAGTTATGTCTAAGGTTTACAATTCTTTAATATAAAATGTTCCTGTTTCCCATACTATGTATTTATTCTATTTATATTACCTTTTAAAAACATACCTAAAGCCTTTCTTTAGCCAGAAATCCCAACACTTAGGAGGCTATGGCAGGAGAAGTGCCATGCCTGGGCTACACTGTGAATCCCAGGCCACCCTGGCAACAATAAAATCCTACCCACCCAAAAAGTACATAAAGAGTTTTGTTCAATTAAGACACTAAAGATAAAGGAGGCCAAAGGGCTAAATTCAAATAATGACAATTCACAGTCTCAAAATACCCATTTAAAACTGTGAATTGTCATTATTTGACACATCTGTAACCCCATGCCTGGGAGATAGAGGAAGTAGAATCATGAGTTCAAGGTCATCGTGGCTACACAGCAAGTTTGAGACTAGCCTCCCCTATATGAGGCAGGGTTTCTCTGTGTAGCCCTGACTATATTTTCATTGTTACAAAATGAACATAGTTAAAGCATAGTGATTAATCACAAAAACAATATGTAATTATATATTGTGGACTATTTACCTCTAATTACACATAAATTTTGTCTTGAAACATGATGTAGCATTTTTCAACAGTATACACAAAAAACCAACCTCAGTGCAAAGGTTGCGACTGCTTCTTTCTCACCATATCAGAAATTCTCAGGCAGTCTTTTCAAGTACACCGTCTACTATTTAGACCTTATAACCAACAAGATGGAAAATCCTGTTTCACAAAGATAAGTCACTGGAAATGGGAGACAGCACAGGGTATGGCTACAAACACTTGATCTAGAACTGTGTAACTGGCAGTATAGAGAAATCAGTTCTTGCTGAATAGCTCTAAGTTCAGTGAACTCCGCCCATCCATGCTGCCTCAGGACATCTTCACTTTGATTGTGAATGGGCTCCTGGCAGGGTTAGGGGTGTCAGGTAGATTTGGAAAATATAATGAAATTTCATGTGCAAGCATGTGCAAGTGTTCTTTCACAGAAATATCACCATAATCCATTTTTCTGGCTCAATGTCATGTTCCTCAAAGAAAACAGATTAGGTAAGCAACATGTGAATTCTATTATCATCTTTTTCTTTCTTTTCTTTTCTTTTTTTTTTTTTTTTTTAACCAAAGCTGAAGTTTCATTTGGAATGATCAGGTCTTTTCGGACAAATACGGGCATGCTTCATTTGGTCCTTGCAGTGATAAATTTAACTCATTCAAGATGGCAAAGATGTCCACCAAGTATGCTGTTTTCTGCAGCTCACGTTCATCACTGAAAAATGCTTCCATCAGCTTTCTGTGGCTCAGAGGTTAAGGGCATTTGTTGCTCTTCCAGAGGTCCTGTGTTCAATTCCCAGCACCCACATAGTGGCTCACAATCATCTGTAACAGGATCTGATGCCCTCTTTCTATATGCATGGAGACAGAACATTCATGTACACAGGGAGGCGCAGCCACTCTTTCCAGAAGGATCTCAGAGATGCCCTCGGGTGCAGTTCAAGCTCATCCTGGTGAGTGACAGCGGCACTGGGAAGTTGGTGAAGCATCACTTGACCAGCAAGTTCGAGAAGTATGTGGCAGCCACCCTGGGCATGGAGGTGCACTCACTCATCTTCCATACCAACAGAGGACCCATCAAGTTCAACGTGTGGGACACTGACAGCCAGGAGAAGTTCGGGGGCCTGCGCGATGGCGACTATATCCAAGCCCAGTGAGCCATTAATGTTTGATGTAACATTAAGAGTCATAAGAATGTACCTAACAGGCATAGAAATCTGGAACAGGCATGTGAAAACATCCCCCATTGTATTGTGTGGCAACAAAGTGGATGATGATAATGACAGAAAAGTGAAGGCAAAACCTATTGTCTTCCACAGAAAGAAGAATCTGCAGTATTTTGACATGTCTGCCAAAAGTAACTAGAACTTTGAAAAGCCTTTCCTCTGGCTTGCCAGAAAGCTCATTGGAGACCCTAACTTGGAGTTTGTTGCCATGTCTGCTCTTGCCCGGCCTGAGGTGGTCATGGACCCAGCTTTGGCAGCACAGGACGAGCATGACTTAGAGGTTGCCCTCCCGGTTGAGGATGATGACCTGTGAGAAAGTAAAGCTGGAGCCCCGCGTCAGATAAGGGAAATGCATTAATTATGAAACAAGTTCATTTCCAATCATAACTTGAGCACTGTCTTTGGCCACTGGCAAGAGTAAATCCTCAGCAACAGTGTGAATTTTCATAGCTCTGGTAATTCTGAGTGCCATCAAATACGAAGCTTCAATGGCTGCTATATTTTATTTGTGGTACTTGCCACCAGTGTCAAGTTTGGCTTTCTTTTTATTGGATGTGGGGAGAGTTCAAGATAGGGTTTCTCCGTATAGCCCTGGCTGTCCTGGAATTCACTCTGTAGACCAGGCTGACCTCAAACTCACAGAGATCCACCTGCCTCTGCCTCCCAAGTGCTGGGATAAAGGGTGCATGCCACCACCACCCGGCAGTCTATAGTTTCTTAAAAATAAATTTAAAAACTAGAAAGACTGCTCAGCACTGGCTGCTCTTCCAGAGGACCCAGGTTGGATTTCCAGCACCCATATGGTGGCTCACAAACATCTGTAACTCTGGTTCCAGGGAATTCAATACCATCTCCAGGACACCAAGGGTACTAGAAATGCACATGGTACACAGACAGATATATATGCAGACCAAACACCCATTAACATAAAAAAAATCAGATGGAAAATCTAATATCAAATAATTGTTAAGGCAGATATTATTCATAAAATATACTGCTAAACAAAAAGGTACTCACCTGCTTTGTCTTCATCCTCAGAATCGGAATCAAAATAAATATCATCATAGTACTTTGTTGTAACTCCTCCAACATTCCCAACTCCTGCGGAAGACACTACAGAACCAGAAGTGACACTCAGAAACTAATCCTCAAGAAAACAAAAAGCCTCTGTGCATACTCCTATCACACAAATAGTGTTAATTTAGTCACAATCTCATTTGTATAGTAAAATTTTCTTATGCCAGTGACTTACTTGATATCTGTGCCTTATGTACCTCTAAGGAATCACTCCTTGAAGAGTTTTCCAAATTAGGAGAAAATCCTTCTCCCTTCCCACAAATCTAATTAAAATTTAAATGCTGGTTTCCAGGTTCTCAGCATATAAATTTCTACTTTTTAATGCATATTACAAATACTCCAAGGAGAACAGGAAAGGGTTATCTTGCTTTAAGGAGCATTAGATAGGGATAAGGGCAAGAACACACTTCCTCTCTCCAGCTTGTTTTCACATCCCTGATTCTTCCTTTACTTCAATTATATCTTTCAGTTCCTCAAGTAATAGCACACACCAATATGAAAACAAGTTCTGACCAGTCACTTCCACAAACCAGTTTCTGGGTCAAGTAACTTAAACATAAAGATCTAAAAATGAACTATGTTTATTACTCACTACAAACAGGAATCTGCAGTGACAAACTATTAAATCTGCCATAAAACCTTAAAATTTTTTTGTATGCCTTGTTTTTCTTTTGGTTTTTTGAGACAGGGTTTCTCTGTGTAGCCCTCACTGTTCTAGAACTCACTCTGTAGACAGGCTGGCCTCAAACTCTGAGATTCACCTGCCTCTGCCTCCCAAATGCTGGGAGTAAAAGTATGTGCCGCTATGCCCAGCATTAAAAATTATAAAAACTTGTTATTAAATAATATCTTTAATAATATCTTTCCAATAACATATGGCACGTGTTAGTCAATGGAAAACTCTGGCACAGATTGTCAAGCACATTCTTCACCATTTAATAAGGATTTAATAAGTATTAACCAGACCTGTTCATGCAGATCTGTCAAGAGGCAACGCAGAAGGATCACATAGGCTACAGTGAGTTCAGGGCCAGACTGAGTAACTTAGTCATGCCCTGTCTCAAAATTTTAAAAGAGGTGGGACTATAACTCTGTGGTAGAACATTTGCCTAACAAACACAAGACCCAGATTTACAAACCCCCATCACCACCCATCATTCATAGAAACACACACACACACACACACAGTGATTTAGCACCTACACAAAGAGACAGAAAAGAACACAATCCCCTACAGGATATCTGTGAGAACTGAGCCCGAAGTTTACCTGTCCCCATAGAGGATAACTTATCCTCCATTGTTTTTATGGTAGAGTTCAATTCAGCTTCCATTTCTTTTTCAAATTCATCTTCACTAGATGACTCGCTTTCTCCAGTAAGACATTCCCGGATGAGCTTTCGTTTTTGATCAGGAGTTCCATGTAACAGCACATCCACTTCATCTTCAGAACTAGCATACATTTAAAGACAGGGAATATGAATATTAAAATATTTTTCTTTGTTTTAATTAATTTATTTATTATATATATATGAGTGCTGTATCTGCATGTACGCCATTATACTAGAAGAAGGCATCAGATGCCACTATAGATCATTGTGAGCATCCTTAAAAGACACTACAGAAAACTGTGCAAAAAGAAAACTATGCACAACAATGATTTTTTTTCCTGGTGCTGGTAACAGAATCAAGCCTTCATGCACACTACACACCTGTTCTGCCGCTGAGCCATATGGAACAGCACTTGCCCTAAGAAACTCACATTACATTCCAGGTTCTCCTAACCAATTTCTGTTCATTTTATATTGCCTTCTATGATAATTTTCCTATCAACAGAATTGTAGTAAAACAAAATCAGTAATTAGGCGGAATAAAATAACAAAAGTGAATTTAGTTGGGGCCAGCAGGACAGTTCATCAGCAGGTAAGGTACTTGCCACCAAAGCTGATGGCCTGAATCAATCCTGTGGACACACATGGAAGAAGAATTGTCCTCTGACCTCTATAATGTGCCATGGCACCCACATGTCCACATACACAAATTTAAGAAAATAAATGTTATTTACATTTTAAAATGAATTAAGCCAGACATGGTGGTGCACGCCTGTAATCCCAGCACTTAGGAGGCCAGAAGGTGAAGAGTTCAAGAGAACCATATGCTACACAGTGGAGTCAAAGCCAGCCCTGGGCTAATTGAGACTCTGCCTCAAACAAGAAAGAATTAAATGTCTAAGACCTTTCTAATACAATATGAAGAATATACATATTAACAAGGCTGAGGCTGTAACTGAGTTGGTAGGATGCTTGCCTGGCAGGCACAAGGCTGGATTGAGCACCAACATTACATAAAACACATGTGGTGGTAGCTCCACTCCAGTTAACTGTGCAGATGACTAAGGGTGGGTTGCTTGTCTGTCAGTCTGCCTGTTTGAGACAAGGTTGCCACTGTGTAGCCTGACTGGCTTGAACTTGCAGAGCCTCCCAAATGCCAGTATAGAAAGCAAGTGCCACCATGCCTGGCAATGGCTAAGGTTTTAACCAGAATGGACACCCAAGAAAATGCCTTACATGACATGTAAATTGGCCAGCTATACTCCTGTTAATAACACCATCACAACTATTTTCACTCCAACTTCTTCACTTTGCCTCCAACAGTGTAGGGCAAGGATCCCCTGACCTCAAAACTCTCTTGTCCCATTCCTCCCTCTTATTCCTCTGTCATTCATCCTACTAGCAGAACGTCACTCCTAAAGGACTCTCGTCTCAGGAGCTTTCTATGGCCAGTTCTCTGAGCACGGCATTCAAAATAGCCTTCTACAAGGTAGCTCCAATATATCTTTCCCACCCTACTGTCCACTACTAACTATCCTCTCGGTCCTCATCCAAAAAGGTCAGTACTGCTCAGGCCGGAAGACTGTTCCCATACTCTAGTCTTAACAAAGTATGAAGGGCATATTATTTTCCAGGTGGTGGTGGCACACACCTTTAATCCCAACACAAGAAGGTGGACGCGGGCAGATCTCTGTGAATTTGAGGCCAGCCTGGTCTATAGAGCTAGTTCTAGTTCAACCGGCTCTACAAAGAGAAACCCTGTCTCAAAAAAAAAAAAAAAAAAAACAAAAAAACATCAAGAGGGGAACTAGATATGATAGTGCACACCTGTAATCCCAATACTTAGGAGGCAGGAAAGAAAAAAGAGCTAATGTAGTGGCACACACCTATAAGGCAGGAAGACTGCAGCAAGTCTGAGGCCAACACCAAGAGCAAAGAGAAAGGAGAATAGCATCCTTGCAGACAGTAAAAGGGATCCTTGTAATGATACAATGTTCTGTATCTTCACTGTTTTTGTGTTCATGTCACATCTGTTTTTATGTGTCCAAGTGCATTTGGAAGTCAGAAGACAACTTTGAGAAACTGCTTCTTGCCTTTTGCCTTGTTGAGAAAGGGTCTTTCTTGTATCTGGCAGTATACCACAGGCTAGTTGTCCTCAAGCATCTACTGTCCCCACCTCCCATCTCATCATAGAAGTGCTGGGATTAAAGACAAGTACTAACACATCCACCTTTTTTCCATGAGTTCAGGAGATAGACTCAGGTCCTCAGGCTTGCACAAGCTAAACCATCTTCCCAGCGCACACACGCACACACCTTTTCTCAATCCTCTTGTGAGTCACTTATCAGATATCCTGCATATAGATATCTACAGTATGATTCACAAAGGTAGCAAAATTATAGTTATAAAGTAGCAATATGGCAAGAAAAATTAGTCGAGTCATTGTATCTAGGGTAAACATTAGAATGAAACAGTTACTTTTCCACTGTATCTGAGGTAAACTTCAGAATAAATAGTGGTTTTCTAGAAGTACTTAGAGCTCGAAGAAATCACTGTGGAAAACAGTGATTGTTTGCTGTTATCTATAGAGTTGTTTTTCTGAAAGAGCTTTACAGCCTTTCCATGACTTTGGTCACAAGACAATCCTGGAACACCTGGATACCTTGGATTATTGGGTACTGCAATACCCAATAATACAGTGCACAATAAGGACTAAAGTGGCACTTATGATGCTTTTCTTCAGAAGGACATGGACATATGATTAGATCAGGGACTTTGGTGTGATGACCTTGTTTTAACAAAACAAAAATCAAAACACAAAACAAAAATAAAAAACTTTTGTGTAACAATCAAATACAACTTTGCACAGATGTTTGGAGTTCAGTTCACAGAAACTGTTCCTCCCTGCTGCAGAAAGCTTAAAATTTACCTTGGAGTGACTCTCTTCCTTTAATCAGCCCACAAAACACAGAACACCTGGACAAGCCATGAGACAATTTTATGGTTGAGGTCAGCACAATATGAAGAACTGTATTAAAGGGTCCTAGCACTAGGGAGGTTGAGAACCACTGCTCTAGAATCTAGGTTAATAAAGGATTAAACAAGCCAGTCATAGGGGTGCACTACTTTAACCCCAGCACTGGGTAGCAGAGACAAGTGGATCTCTGGTTTACAGAGCAAGTTCCAGGCCAAGCAGAGCTACAAACTGAGACCCTGTCTCAAAACTAAAATTAACACACACACACACACACACACACACACACACACACACACATCCCTGGGTTTAATATCCAGCAAGGTTTATTAAATGGAATAAGTAAAGACATTCCAAGTTCCCTCAAGTAGGATAAATACTCCCTTTCCAAAAGTACCACAGACCTTCATTTATGCCTATTGGAGGTCATCTACACATTTCATTTCCCCTATTATAAGGTAAACCAATGGAAGACAAGAATTTTGTATTTTGTATCTCTATCATAACCCCCCCAAAAAAATTCCCGTTACTGTTCCGTTATTTCTATTTGACAGTCTTCCAGATGAGTACTTCATGCTAAGGCCTGTGTGTGGTCCTCACTAGTCAGTCCCACACTTGTATTTCCATTTACAGATGCGACGCTGAAGAGAACCGACTTGCCTTCAGTCACAGTGCTAGCAAACGGTAAGGAGCAGGGTTCCATCTGAGGATTTACGCTTGGGGCCCCCGGGATTCTGGAATATCCCTCTTCCCGCACTGCTGTCCATCCTGGTTCCCCAGAGACGGAGCAGCCCCACCAGGCACCCCGAGGCTCCTACAATGCGCCCAGGCTCGGCAAGCGCGGCGAGCAAGACGGCTTCGGCCAGGGCGGACACCGCGGGGCAGCGGCCCACCTGCTCAGAGCCGGCTCCTCGTCGCTCGGCTCTTCCACCGCGTAGGGATCGTAATCATCCTGGAGCCGGTTCATGGCGGCTAGGGAGGCCTAGGCGGCCCACAGACGGTCGGGGTGTCTGTGTACTCCGCGGGTACCTTCCCTAAAGCGTCCGGACTCACCACTTCCGCTCGTCACACGAGCCCTTCCTGTGTGCGCCTGCGCAGGGCGTCCCAGGTAGAAACGGGCTGCCAAGGAGGGTCGGGCATCAACTCGGCTCTGCGTCTTCGTTTCCGCTGAAAACAGCAGTTGCATTTTTGTGGGGTTTTGTTGATGCTGTTGCTTTATTCAGTGTTTGAGATGGTCTCACTGGCCCGGTCTGACCTACAAGTCGCTATACAGCCCAGGCTGACTTCGCTCCGCCTACCTTGACCTGCGGAGCTGAGATTACAAATTGTATGCCACCATCCAGTCTGATTTCTTCCTTCCAAGTTGTTATTTTGGCCTTTCTCCCCAGGTTTTTATTAGGCTTAGTGATTGTGTGCAAGGAAATAATGTATGATAGACCTACTCAGAAAAATACTATGCAATAAAAACAAACCCGATTTTGTATTAGTAGTTAAACATTAAAGGGGTGATTCTCCCAGAACCGAATCCTATGAGGACGAGTTGCCTCAGCTGGCGGAAACAATGAGCTAGAGTTTCTTTTCTGCCCAAAGCCTGTGAGGTGTACCCTAGGGGGTTGTACCTCGATGATAGGTTTTCACCTCCCTTTTGGTTTCCAGACTTGACCCTCAATCAGTAACAAGCCTCGCCCCTCCGGCCCCTCCACCCTTAGTGGGCGGAGCCTTATTTAGAGGTCTATGCATTCCTGCGACGTCACCCCAGAGGCGTAGTGTATGTAAATGAATACGCAGAGGATGCCGGTTCCCGCACATAGATTTTTCCCATGCTGTTAACAGATAATGTCCACATAAGCACAAGGTAGTTTAGGGTTCACTACTGAACCAAGGGGCTGTGAGAGAGAGAAAGCGCAGTAAATAAAAAGAAAAGACCGTAACTGAAGAGTAAGCCTATACTGATGGCAAGCCTGCGCGTGGCGATAGCAACTCATACTTACCTGGCAGGGGAGATACCATGATCACGAAGGTGGTTTTCCCAGGGCGAGGCTTATCCATTGCACTCCGGATGTGCTGACCCCTGCGATTTCCCCAAATGCGGGAAACTCGACTGCATAATTTGTGGTAGTGGGGGACTGCGTTCGCGCTCTCCCCTGGTCTCATTGTCTAAGATTAGAGTTTGAAATACTATGTTGGTGCCGGCATGTCTAACTTGAGTTTGGGTGTATTTCAAACGTGAATGTAGTAAGTAAAGCAACAGGCAAATACTGTCTCAGCTGTTAATGTTTTTGTTGTTCGAGATAGTTTTTGTTACTTTTTCTTTCGAGATAGTTTCTGTGTTACTTTTTCTTAATTCTACAATTGCCTTTTGAGGGTGCTACTCATGAGTGAATTTTGTAAGAAAGGAGGTTTGCCAAGCAAGTTAGCCATTAACATGTTTGTGACTTAAGTTTCTGCTTTGATTTCCTGCTTTGATTCTTTAGTGATAAAGTGGTGAAGAACTGAAAATTCTAAAATAACACATTTTCTTCCCCAAATTGCTTTTGGCCGTGGACTTTTGTCACAACAATAAAAAGAAACTGTATGATAGACACCATTTGAGTTTAAAAACTAACCTAACAGTTGTTAAAAAAAAAAAAAAAGTAAATAAATAATTAAGCACACAAAGTCTGTAGTCAATACTCTAAAACAAGTGAAAACTACTATTAAGAGTGTTATCAGTGCATACCTCACTGTCATGCAGAGAGGTTCCTTCAGTAAGAACAAAGGCTTTCTAGAAGTTTCCAATTTCACACTCACTGTTCCTGTGTTAGAAATCCTCATTGAGGCACACACTTTTGATTCCAGCACTCAGGAAGCAGAGAAAGGCAGATGTCTGTGAGTTCAAGGACAAGAGCTGCAATAGTGAGACCTGTCTTCAGAAGGAGGGAAGTCCTCACTGAGAGGAGGACACTAAGGCACAGATGTAAAGGAAACAGCATGAGGAGGTCAGACTTCAGGACACACACAGGAAGGGCAAGAAATCCACCCTCTCCTCCTGAATTGCTGCCCAAGGATCATTCTATATCAACTGAAGCTGCAGTCTTCTTCATTCTAGTGACTGGGACTTGATGCCTGTGACCGGGCCCACAGCCTGGCACACAGGATTCTCCGAAGCGAAGGGCCCAACAGCCTCTTGCCTCTACCACATCTCCTTACTCGCATGCCCAGCCCTTCCGATGGAAAACTAGCTGCACAGCTTCATTCACATCGAGGACAACGTGGGATGCCTCTAGGAGCTCTGCACTGAAGCGGAAGTCTCGGTGCCCGTGGAATGGAAGCTCTGCTTCCTCCAGAAGTCCCTTCACAGGCCTGGGTCCTGACAATTGTGTATGCCAATGCATACCAGGATGGAGGCACAGCTCTGGGTTGTTGAAGGCCGCTGCTTCTGATATCTACCAGTCCCATGTCCCTTCTCTCCACACTTTGCCATTTGCAGGTACTGGTTGAATAGGTTGGCACCACAGACGTCAGACACAGGGTTATCTCTCTATATAGCATAGAGCTTCCTGATAAGGATGCTGGGTTTGTCCATCAAGCCCTCGTATTTCATCTCCTTGCCTGTTACTTTCTGGTAGATGGTTTCCAGGCACAGCAGAAATGTGCCATGACCAAACCTGGGCATCTTGGCTTCAGCCATCCACAGGAGATCCATGCTGCTAAGCCAGGACAGGGAGGTGGGGATATGGAACTGTCACCAGGCCAGTCCCAGGGTTTCCAATGCTAAGGAGGACATCCATAATCAGCTGTAGGCTTGTCTCCCAGCGGACTGGCTCCCCAAGAAGAAGAACCCCTTCAATGGCAGAGAAGTAATTCCTCAGATGCATGGTCTTCGGCCGCCGCTCAAGGTCTACAATGTCCAGCTCTGGGAAGGTGAGTCGTAGCTCATCTACTGTCACCACGTTCTGGAAGCCTAGTGCTCTGGCGTTTTCCACCAGGGGTCCCTGCCCAGACACTAGCATCTGCTTGTTGTGGTACTGTAAGAAGAGTTTCATGGAGCTGTGAGAGAGAATGACTTGGTCTGGATCCACTTTGCATCCCAGCAGGCCTGACAGCTCCTGGGCTTTGCTATGTTGTAAGATGTTCCCAGCATTTGTGACAGAAACCACAGGTACCCTCAGCTGTCCCTGGGAGTTTAACAGCGTGCCGAATGCTTCCAGAGCAGCTGGGCTCACTCTGTGGCCTCGAACCAGCATTCCATCAAAGTCAAATAGTAAGCCAAAGGTGGGAGGACCCTTTTGGGAAATAAGAATCCTCGGGCTCCTCGAAAAGGAGAAACGAATTAACTGCTAAGAAACTTTTCTGGCGCGGGAAGGAGCTGCGAACCCACCCGAGGCTGACCTGGGGTTGGGATGGGTCGTTTGCCCCGGACATAGACATTTCCAGCGGACGGAAGGCGCTCCGGGAAGGACGAAGGGTTCAACGGCTCTACGGTCTCCAGGGCAGCGTCCCCGAGGGCGGGATGCTCAGTGACCTGCATGGCCCTCCCGCCCGCCAGCCCTGCGCTCTGGGTCGAACCCGATCGTCCTCACCTCAGCACGGCCCACGATGTAGCCCCTCCGGAGCCAGCATCCTGGGAACTCCGCACACAGTCGCAGGAAGCCTCCATAGACAGCGCCCGGTACGGAGAGCCTCCAGCCCGCTGAGCGCAGCCATCGCGTCCGCCGCGCACACCCATTTGAGTTTCTTTAGGCCTGTCTGTATGTGTGCCGGGGATGGGGGTGGGGTGGGGGGTGTAATGTTCCTAGGAGTTCTATAGTGTTCGATGGTCAGTCATGCTGTCAAACTGCCTTCTAAATATTTATATTTATGCCCCGGGATGCGTGTATTTCTCAAGTGTCTTGTCATAAGTGCTTTTCTGCAGCACGTTGATGTAGGGGGTCACTGCAAGGATCCACAACCGGTCAAAAGGCTGAAAATGAGTAACCGTGAACTCTCAACTGCAGATGAATGGTCTGTACCACCTCATCCTCACCCAACCAAGGTTCAGGGAACTCAGAAGAGGACCAGAAGAATATAAGAACCGGCAGCGTGGAAGGGGGAGAGGAGCTGTGGAATGCTGTCTGCTGGAGGCGATGCACCCATCACCTCACACACATCACCTCACAGAAGCTGTGTTTACATGCACGCACAAAACCTGCACAAGGGGGTTGAAGAGCTAGCTCAGTGAGGGAGCACTCACTGCTCTTGAAGAGGACCAGGTTTCCATTTCCAGCACTGAGTGGGGGCAGCTCATCCGCTTGTAACTCCAGTTCCAGAGGCAGAAAAAGGAACATCCCAGACAAGCTGTCTATAGACTAACTCTGGTTCATAGCAAGATACCCTGCCCCAGTTTAAAAAAAAAAAAAAAAAAAAAAAAAAAAAAAAAAAGGAGAAATCAAGGGAGATATTCTATTACAACCTCTAACTTCTGCCCACACTACACACGTGTATGTGTAAGTACACACATGTGTCCACACTTGTAAACATGGTGCACACCACAAATACGTCCATAATTTTTTGATATGCATGATGAAGCACACATTCAGGAGGCAAAAGCAAGGTAGATTTCTCTAAGTTTGAGGCCAGCCTACCCTATATAATGACTTCCAGGCTATCCAGGGCTACACAACGAGAGCCAGTCTCAAAAAAAAAAAAATTAATATACATTTGAAATGTCCTCCTGGGGAAGAGAGCACCTGTTGCACAGGACAGTTGGCTCCTACCCTATGAGTTCTGGGATGGGACTTAATTAATCAGCTTCAGTGGCAAGGGCTCTCACCTGCTGAGCCATCTTTTTCTTTCTTTTTTTCTTTTCCATCTTTTCTTCCTCTCCTGGAACTCACTATTGTAAACCAGGCCAACCTTAAACTCACAGAGATCTGCCTGTCTCTGCCTCTCAAGTGATAGTGATTAAAGGCGTGCAACACCATGATGCCCAGCCCTAAGAATGTATCGATTTTTTTCCTATTTTTAACATATTATTTTTTATGTTCATTGGTGTTTTGCCTGCACATATATCTGTGTAAGGGTGTCACAAGCCCTGGAACTG